GGGGGGGGGCACACACACACACACATAGCTAATACTTGCTCTAACCTTAACTTTCACCTAAACCTTAAATTTAAACTCAACCTTAGTCTTAAAACACGTCTTCACCTGAAGAATGAATTAGTCACGTTATGGGGACTTGCTTTTTCCATTGGTCCAATAACATGAGTGTGCAAATAGGTTTAGGTCCCTATAACATGAGTAAAACCTGGACCACACACACACACACACGCACACACACACGCACACACAGACAAATCTTTACAGTTTTGCTTTCCAGGCCTTTGCATTAACTTCGATTCATAGTGGACAGCCTCACTTTGTCAAAACGGCCTCATTCTGTAAGGTCTGTGTTCAAACTAGTCCTCATAAAGATATAAGAATAAGTAAACACACACACTCACACACACACTCACGATCAGCAGTTGATTCTTTTTCTTCTGCTGGGGACAGAAATGATTGGACAGATTTCTTTGACCCTTCAAACCAAATCAGTGACGACCTGCTGCTCATTAACAAAACACATGTGAGGAATGAAAACACGCACGAGGAGACGTGAACACGAAGAATTACGCAACACACACATTTGCTAACTTTAGTGCCGGGCATGAAGATACTGTCTTGTTCAAACTTCAAGAACGCCGTGATCATTTTACAGCCGCTACCTTTTTATTAGATCAAGAGGAGCTGTAGGTAACTGGTGTTCTTTACTTTCAATTGTAAAATCTCTAGATCTTCAGTTTGCTGATCGAAGCTTCAGTTTTCCAGATGTCCTCTGTCTCTGCGTCACCGACGGAAGCAAAGCAAACCGTCAATCTGTGACGACGCTCGACAGAGACACAAAGAGCCTGACACCAAAGAAAACCTCTGTTCCTCCAGCAGAGAATCTGAATCATGTTCTGGTGCGCTGGAGTTTTCACACATGAAAGTCTGAGGGAGAGTTTTACTGTTCGTCCCTCTCACACAGAAAATCAATTATCATCCAGAGACATAAGAGACAAAGCATGAAATCTGTTATTAATAATAATGACAGTGCAACACACGCAGTTTGTTTTCGCTCAGCATAAACATAATGGTTCGTATTTACACAGAGTTTAAATGATGTAAATCGATGTTTCTGATGTTTATTGTGTCAAAATGTTAATATTTGCTAAATAAACACAGAGTATGTCATCAGGCCTGAAGGTGTTTGGTCATAAATCAATGCACTGTTTTGACCTGATGATGGCGCTGCATGAAAAATCTCTGTTTTAACCACAAATGTCATGGTGGCAATCATAGACGGAAAAAATAAAGATATACGACATGGCAGCCCCCCCAAAAGTGAAGCCGAATTATGTGGGTTGCCCCCTGGTGGCTGGCTGCAGTATGGGTCAAATAAAAATTAGCTCAAAGATGATTTCTTTCACTTTAGATTTGTTTTATCACATCGATATTTGTTCAAGTGTTGGTTTTTTTCCACTGAGTGTGTTGACAGCTGAGATTGTCTTGACTTGCCACGCCTCCGCTCTATGATCAGTTATGATCAGTTCCATGCAGAGGAGGATTTGTGGAGATGCGTCGTCCATCTTTATTTACAAAGTCGCCAACGTCCACAGGATTCATCCTCTGGGCACCATGAATGTTTGTAAATAATTTCTTGGCAGTTCCTCCTCCAGTTCTTGAGATATTTCAGTCTCTCGTGGCTGAAATAAATCAGTTTTCTTCCACATGCTACCACCGGCGTGTGACGGGCCACAGACTGGACTCAGAGAGGTGAAGCAGCGCGGCTGAAGAATGAACAGCATCGACTACTAATAGGTCGGTCAAGTCCAAGAATGCCAAAGACGCTAATGACATTTTAATGGACGCAGTCAGATTGTTCCCATTTTGACAAAGGTGAGGGAATGCAGGAATGTGGACCATTCAGCTGAACGTTAAACACACAGAGGCAGCAGAGAAGACCTGGAATATATCAGTGAATTCAACATGTGATGGGAAAAGTTAAGGTCAGATGATACAGATTTGTCTGAGACATGAAGAAAAGATAATTTAGCGCTGATCAGATTTCTGCTTTTTCTAAATTCACGACTGAGTGACTCCACGCAGAACCAATAAGACTGGGTCCAAAACTCCCTGTTGTTTAGTTGAAGTAGCAGCACTTTTATTATTACGTTTACTCATCTGCCCAATGTTTCTATTGAAAGCCATTTATGTACGTCTTTAATCAGACGTCAAGTTTGTATAGAATACACAAAAGACACCAGCAGGGGGCACCCGGATGTAAACAAGGGTCAGTTTGACCTGGAACTACATTACTTGAGTCTTTTGTTGTGGTTAGGTCCTGTTTCCCTGTAACGTTGTTTATGAGCCCAGAACTTCATTTTTTGAGTATCTAAAAATGTTATTTGGGTTTCTCATACTAGAACACACACACACACACACAAGCAAACACACACAAGCACACACATACACACACACACAAGCACACAGACACATTGCACGTGTCGAGAGACGTGAGAAAAGAAACTGCATAAAGAACTCAGACAGTGATTCCGTGTTGTTGTTACAGACTCACTGAGCAGGAATTAAAGTCACAAAAATATTAGTATGTACATAAGTGTGGTATCAATATATTCAGATATTTATTCTGTGTAATGCGAGAAGTTTTCTTCAATAAATCAAAAAAGTGTGTGTATGTGTGTGTGTGTGTCTCCAACCTCCAGCTGTGCTCTGTTCATCAACCTGCTAACCAGCTTCCACATGGCTCCTGTTAACACACACACACACACACACACACACACACACACACACACACACACACACACACACACACTGCACGTGTAAGAGAGAAGAAACTGCATAAAGAACTCAGACAGAGATTCTTCTTATATTTTTACATGAAATCTTGTATCTTTTAAATTTAACTTGTTCGTTTGTCGTTCAAAACTTTAAAACAAACTTTACTCCTGCCTCAGAATTGTGTTTTTCTCAAACAATAAAAAGTCAAACTCTCGGCAGCGGGAAGTCGTGATGACGTGTTGCTGCCTCTGGTTTTTATTTTTGATGGATTCTGCAGAATCAAGCCGCCGTCCGAACCGTGAAGATGGAAGAGCGAGAGCTTCACCTCCTGTCCGTTTTGTCCCTGATGTGTCCGACTCGGCTCTGGTCGCCGTCCATCAGTCTCACATGAGCCTCATTAGAGCAGCAGCTGATTAGAGCAGGGCAGCATGTGAGGTGTGTTACCGGTCATGAGACACAACATGGCTGCTCGTTAAACGGCCACATCTCGGCTCCGATTGGCCGTCACCAGCTTTGAATCTGGGACTGGAACTGATGCGGTTAACAAAGTTCAAATAGACGAAGTTAACCTAACTGATTTATAAACAATTTCAATTTTCTGGAGTTTGTACAAATTAAAGTAAATGTTAAAGGCTTGTTTCAATCTGGCGAGTTAGCGGCGCGTTCATTCAGGCGGTTGAAATTATAAGTAAACTTAGAACCGATGACGTGCTAATGCTGCTACAAGCTAATACTGCTCCGGGTAATTCACTGAGAAATAACCCAGAGAAGAACTTGTGTTAATCAGCAATAGTTTATATTGATATATATATATATATATATATATATATATATATATGAATAATAATTTACTGTTGTGGCTCAGTCTTGTTGTTTTCATGCCATCGTTCACTGTTCATCACATCAGCTGAAGATTACATGTCAGTACAGAAGTAATAATAAACTGATTTAATCTTTTACTGAAAGGCTTCGTAAACCCAGTGGTTAAAACCTGGAGGACAGAACATTTGTTGTTGGTTTTGTTTTTTTGTGATCAATTATTTTCATTAATGGAACGAAATCTGAAAATACGAACAAACAACTACACGTTCTCAAAATAATGAGCAAATGCTGTGATTTTATTTGTTCAGTCACATTTAATACACGAGCACAGACACAGCACTGACTCATTATATGATAGAAGTTGTACCAGTGGGCCTGAGCTGAAATCCCAGCTTATCAAACCATGACCTCAACAAACTGAAAAACTGTGTGTGTGTGTGTGTGTGTGTGTGTGTGTGTGTGTGTGTGTGTGTGTGTGTGTGTGTGTGTGTGTGTGTGGAGTAAAGTCATGTTACTGTCAGTGGTGGGGGCGTGACACAAACCAGACCCTGCTCACACACAGTACAAATCAGGTTTAGAAAGGAATCCTAACACACACACACACACACACACACAGTTCCACTACACTACGGCTCCATTGGCTGCAGCTGATGAATGGACGAGTTGTTAACCAATCAGCAGCATGTGACCAGTAAATATCTGGACCGATCAGCATCAGCTGGCCACACTCTGACTGCTTCATCACACACAAACACACTCACTCAGGGACGGAGGCTCGTCACTGAAACACTCTCTCGTAGTTCTGCTTTACTTTCATCCGACGCAGAATCATCATCATCATCATCATCATCAGTCGTCCATCATGCACAGCAAAGAACAGATCAGGTGAGAAAACACTGATTTCACATCTGTTTGATAACATGTTGTTGTTACTTAACTCAAATCTGAGGTTTGAGACTCTTTTAAACATCTGTGAAGGTTTCAAGTCAAACGTTTAATCAAAAATGATTCAGGAGATCACAAGACAAAAGTAAAGTTTGAAAAATGATCATATTTATATTGTGTCACTCGTGCTGCCGGAGACTAGTCAGCTTTGTCTCGTGACCCTGACTCCACCGACCGTCTCTGACTCCTTATCAAACAACCTGGAGCATTCAGTGGGATTCAGTTTTATGAACGTATGAAACAGTTTTTATACAATGATAGAAAATAAGACGAAGGGGAACAAGTCAGCAACGATCTAACTGGAGAGAAATATACATTTCACTTCTATATCAATATAGAATTTATGATAGAAAAAGTAATGATTCAAGTATTTTCTTTTCATAACACTCTGTTAATGATGTCGTCAGTGTTCCTCGGTGTAATCTCAGGAGCATGCTTTATAATCTAAGGTGACTATAGGTGTGTATGTATGTTTCCATCCAATTACAGCATCTTTAACATCCATATGGAAATATGGCCAAGTGTAAAAATAATATTTGGTTGTTGCTTTGTTTAAATAAAATCTTTAGATTGCTCAAAATATCCACAGAGCTACTGTGTATATATATATATATATATATATATATATATATATATATATTTGCAGAATGCAAGTTGATATAAAAGTACCAACATTTTTGTATTTTTCATTCCTCTGTGTTCGCTGCAAGTTGTATCCCAGAAATAGGAATATTGTTTAATAATCCCCTCTGTCGCCAAATGGGCTGATAGTTCATTTTTTCTGAGGATGCTGCTTCACTGTACAGGTCTTTGAACTGAATCTGATTATAATCAATCAAATTTCATCTCGAAACACACAGGAGACAGAATCACTGGCAGCATGATGCTCCACATGTGACATGCATCTCAATAAATGATTTCTTAAGTAATGATGAGTCCCCCTCTCTGATCCTTGTGTGCAGTCATGATGAATACCAGACAACAGCTGACTGGTTGATGTCTCAGACCAAACATCGCCCCCAGGTGGCGATCATCTGTGGGTCTGGACTGGGGGCGCTCGCTGACACGCTCAAGTGTCAGGACTCCTTCGCTTATTCTGACATACCAGGCTTCCCTCAGAGCACAGGTACGCTGCATGTACAAATACTACATATACAGTTTCACTTATCTAATACTTTTATTACTAATGATGAGAATCTGAGATCAGGGATTATTTCTACAGATTCATTTGCATATATTTCATTTAAAAAAGCTTAAAAGCTCAAACAGTGATTGTATTGCATTTTAAAAGTTCCTTCCTTAAAAACTTATTATCAGTAGGTTTGGTTTCCGACATCTTTTACTCTCAACTGATTATTTCACAGTCTCTCAGATAAATGATCGATTGGAAAACCTTTAAATTAAAAAGGCGGCGTTCAACATGGGGTTCAAATTGTGTTTAATGTGTACTTGTCATGAAAAGATTTAAAGGTACAGTGTGTAGAATTTTGTGATATCTGGTGTTGAAGTGTCATGTTGCAGCTGAACACCCCTCACCTCACCCTCTCCTTCCAAACATGAAGAAGAACCTGTGGCAGACTTTAATTGTCATAAAAACTCAAAGGTTTTTAGTTGGTCCAGTCCGGACTAATGTAAAAAACATGGCTGCCTCCGTAGAGAGGGTCCCCTCGATGTAAATGTAAAGTATTTAAATATAAAGGGTCTTTTCTGGGGTAAAGAAATCTACAATTCATACAATTTAGATGAAATGAACTAGTGAAAACATCATGAGGATTATTCTGCATTAAATTTCTGCCAGTAGTTCCCTTTCACCTCAATCTTTCACACTGGACCATTCGCTGGTTAGAGCATGAAAAGTAATTGTCTGGATGTTTTAGCCTGTAGCTTAGCACAAAGACAGGGAATGGAGGGAAACTGCTGTTTGATTCACTTTTTGATTTATGTGTTAACCTCGAGCACTGATCTCACTTTAGTCCTGACTGTGTTCAGTTCAGGGTCATGCAGGTCGACTGGTTTTCGGAGAGCTGAAGGGGAAGACGTGTGTGTGCATGCAGGGGCGCTTCCACATGTATGAAGGACACTCACTCTGCAAGGTACACACACACACACACACACACACACACACACACACACACACATACATACATACATGCAACAGGCTCCGTGTGAGAACCCGCATTAACCACACAACCACATTACTAAACTCCTAAACCGTGAAAAATCCAAGAGGCTTTTGAAGCAGTGAGAGTCGAACACGATCCTCACTTCATGCAAATTTTCATTCTTAAAAACTACAACTCAGTTTTTATCGTATCATAAATATTCATGACTTCACAGTGTTTCAAAGTTGTAAGAGTATTTTATAACGTGCTTCTTGTTTTGGAAATAAACACTGTTAAATACATTTTTACACACTGTGAAACTGTACATGAATGCACCATTTCAAGGTTTTCTCACATTTAACTATTACAGAATAACAACAAACACAATAGGGAAAACACACACACACACACACACACACACACACACTTACAGTCAGCTGATTAAAGAAGCTCAGTCACGCAGCCTTAGTGCAACACACAACTGTAATGAGCAGCATGAGACTGAGACACAATGCTGCTATTGTTTCCTTCTATATAACAAACACACACACGTCCACACATTAGGTGGCGCTGTACAGATGCTTCGTCACAACAGAACTGCTGAGTGGACACAGACGTAAATCAGTGCTGCTCAAGAACAGGAAACAGATTCTCTGTCAGTCGTTTTTAAAACACATGAGCTTTATGCAGCTGCTGCTGTAGAAGAGCTGGACGTTCAGTAAAACTTGAAAACTTTGAATTTAAAAGTGTCTGAAGTGTCTTTAACTTTAGTGATGACCAAGATTATGACGAGACGCTTCTTCTTTTTCTTTTTTTCCCCTGTCTCTGTCAGACAACGTTTCCTGTTCGGGTCTTCAAGCTGTTGGGGGTGGAGACTCTGATCGTGACAAACGCAGCCGGCTCATTGGCTGATGGTTTCCATCCTGGTGACATCATGATCATCAAAGACCACATTAACTTCCCAGGACTGGTCGGTCTGAACCCGCTGTGCGGACCCAACGACGACAAGTGAGACACATTTACACTTTTCATCTTCGACAGATTTTAAAATTCATCGTCTCTTATTGTCTTTATGTTTGGACTTAGTTGCCATGGCAACAACATATTGATTACTGCCGTTTTGTTGTTGTTGACGGTTTGGTGTCAGTCGCTGATCACGTGTTTGTTTTGTTCAACAGGTTCGGACCTCGTTTCCCGGCCATGTCGGGTTGCTATGACAAAGACCTGCGTTGCCTAGCGATGGATATCGCCAAGCAGCAGGGTGTGGCCGGCTTCATGCAGGAGGGCGTGTACGCTATGGTGGGAGGGCCCAACTTTGAAAGCATCGCTGAGGCCAGGCTACTGCATCGGCTGGGGGTGGATGCTGTTGGTACGACCCACACACACACACACGCACACACACACACACACACACACACACACACACACACAGCCTGAGGGATTGTCTCCTACAGGATGCAATTCCAGCCACAACATGAGACTCCTGACGACCTGTCTGTTTGTCTGTTTATCAACAATGGATGCAAAACCAGGAAATTGCAATTTGACACAACATATTATTCACATTTCGCACTCAGTGAAACTCAGCTGAGCTTCTTCATGTTTGGTAACAATATTTAACCAAACCGTCAGATGACTCTGACCCTGGAGACCATTTCCTCAGATTAACACTCGTGAGGCAAAGGAAAAAAGTATTTTGAGAATCACTCCAGTTTAAATCCACCGGTTGAAGTTCTTATCAGTGTTCTGTTTTTCTTTGAAGCGATATCCTGCAGCTGTTTAGGCCCAGAGCTTTTTTTTCCTGAAAAGAATTCAAGACATTCAAACGGCTACCGAAGAAAATTATCTACTCTGATCCCGGTGACTGCAGTTCCTCTCCTCCAACACATGAGTGTCTGACGGGAGTTGCTGATGTCATCGTTTTTATAACCCAGCTGACATGTTTTTGGCTCTAAATTATTTTTTATGTGAACTTGTGAAAAGTTCATCTCTTTTTTTTGACAATACAGAACTTTTTATGATTAATGTGCAGTTTCATTGATAAATATGCCGTCGTCAGTATTGATATTATCACAGCTGATGACCTGAGTATTTCCATGGTTACAGGTATGAGCACGGCTCCTGAGGTCGTCGTGGCAACTCACTGCGGCCTGAGAGTCTTTGGTCTTTCTCTGATCACCAACAAGGTAAATGCACAGATCAATACATTGATCGGTTACATCGGTTAATTGGATTGATGAATTCTGACCGACTGATGAATACAGCTAATATACTGAACATGGAGAAATCAATCCATCCATTGATTTAACTTATTGATTGTTTATTTGTCAGTCATTTACTGATCCGTGGGATGAACTGATGGTTGATTGATCTCAGGTGGTGAAGAGCTATGACGACTCTGAGAGTGTGAACCATGACGGCGTCCTGGAGGTCGGCCGGCTGCGCTCTCACACCGTCCAGCAGCTGGTGACTGAACTGATCAGCAGGATCGAGATCAATAACAACAACTCCAAGAATGCTGTCTGAACCAACACACACACATATTGTGTGTATATTTATTGTATTCACAATATTTTTCAGCGATTCCCGCTGTTTGTTTTTCATCCGTATTTTGTATCCTTGCTGTTATAAAAACTTTATTTATATTATCATGGTGCCTAATAATGCATTATCTGAATGTGAGTATTAAGATTTTAATCCTAAAGATTAATATAACAATGATCACTGTCTCTGATGGTGCTTGAATTAAAAAAAATAATATATGAGACCAAGATGTTTTAATGTGTTCCATTGCACTTGCTCATGTTGAATTAATTATTTTGTAAAAAAAAAAAAAAAAAAAATCACCAATTTATTGATCCATGTTATTCTGATTAAAATGTTCTGCCCAACCTTTTGTTTCCTGTTTGTGTTGATCAGCTGATCTGCAGCTGACATTGCAAAATAGAAAATAAAAAGTGACGCTGAAAATAGAAACAAAGCGCTCGGTTCACACGTTCAAGCCAAAGACTATAATGTACCAACTGGCATTTTTTTGATGTCATGGTGTATTTATATTTGCTTGAGTATTGTGCTTCGACTCAGCTGACCAGCTAAAGGTACATGTCAAAATCACGGAGCTTTACAGAGTCACAGAAATCCTCTGTAGACCATTTCACTTCGGTTCGGCTTTTGCGGTTAAACTAGCCCACAAGGATGCAGCCTCTGGTTTGAGACACAGGTCATGGTTCAAATGTTCAAATGTTAACGTTGTCATGCCAACCAACAAACCAAAGCACAAGATTCATTTAGGTTTAGCAGAGGGCCGGTATCCATAGGGACCATTAATGTGTAATAAATGTAGCTTTGATAAAAAAAATCTCTGGATTTTCATATATAATAATTGTTTAAATCATCTTCTAGTGGAGTGATTGTACTCAATGTCTAATTACTGACACAGAAACGTTCCATGATGCACTTGTTGGTTTAAAACATCACAACAGAGCAGAATGTTTTCTCTCTGAGTAACAGGGGATTCAAACTTTCTGCTGTTTCCTGTGCAACAGGCTTGTTTTCTTCAGACTACAGGATCTCAACATCCAGGTATGTTGGACCAACAAATCGATTTGTGCTTCAGGACGATTGTTCACAATGTCTGAGCGTTTCGTAAATGCTGCTGGTGTGATCCTCTTTAAATGGAAATCTGTCAGGTTGTTGCTGAGATGTCTCACTCTGATTAAAAAAACTAGGTGGACTGAGAGACTTCACTACATCCTTCACTGAGAAATACTTTTTAAAAATATGTCTGGAGCTTGTCTCTGGATGAATCACAGACGAGAGCTGCAGTTGAAGCTATTTTTTCCTGCTTGCTGTTGTTTTTCTAATCTTAAAAGTGGTTGGGATTTTCAGCCAGTCTGTATTTTTAAATATTATTTTGATGACGAAGTGACCAGAGGGGAAATGTAGAATTCAAACTCTTTTCACTCAAATGTTAAGATTTGGATCTGGATCAATCAACTACGCTTCTAAATACCCGTTGTTTCAAAAATAAACTGTAAACCTGAATGTAATCGTCTGTTTCCCCTAAAACATGTGGTGTTGAAAGGCAGAGAACAGTCGCGACCCCCTGCTGTTCACGTCAATCAAGATGACCCAGACGGTGACCTTTGACCTGGAAGTCCTCATCGTGTACGCGGTCATCATTGTGCTGATTGTGATAACTGTGCTGTACCTCTGCTGGATCCTCGGATGCAAAGGAAGCAGGTGAGAACGTAAAAACATTGTCATCATAATCTGCATCAACACTGATCCAAAACTGCGTTTAATGGAGTTCTGATCCGTCTCTCTGGGTTTTGGTTCCTCAGGGATCTCACAGAGTTTCAGGTCTCAGCGAAAAATCCCGCTCATGTCCTGACCATCAGAACAACGGCAGACAACGCCAAACAGCTCATGGACCACCTAGTGGACCGAGTCATCATCCAGATCGATCCCAGACCAGAATCTGGAGCAGAACCTGAAGAGGAACCTGAAGAAGAATCTGTAGAGGAACTTGATTCTGGATTCATTTCAGAATCAAACCCAAACGTTGTAACGACAGCTTCTGTTCACCGCAGCGGTAGGTGTTACTGAAAACTTCTCAGAGCTTTCATCATTTCTCTCTTTAAATTTATTTGCAGAATATCAGAAGAAAATTTTCTTTGATATTTGATTTTTCACCTAATGTTAATTTACATTAGTGTTATTCTGTTATAATTTCTCTTTTTTAAAGATATTAGTGAATTCATGTCAATAATTTTTATGCATCGATTTACTCTTCTCCAGCTGACCAGGATCAAACCAGCACCCTCCTTCCTAAGAGGTCAGATGTATCCCAGTATGCATCTCTCTCCTCACAGGGTGCGTCCGGCAGTCCACGCTGTGAGGAAGAGTCACAACTGTAGAGAGAAATAAATGAATTAACTTCACTTCCTGGGAGAATAAAAGGTTTTTATTTCAATATAAACAGCATCTTAAATCATACAGACTTACACCTGATAAGGTTTTACTTTTTTATTAATCTGAGGGGGGTTCATTTTAAGTATCTAACTGTTTTACGATGTTTATTAGTTATTCCAACATTTAAAAAACAGCTGAAATATTATCACCTACAGGACCAGGATATACATTTAAAAAACAGAGTTCTATACAAAAATCTGAGTTTTGTTTTTAATTAGATTAAATATTTGAATGAGATAAATACCATAAGATACCATTATTTCGAGAAAGAGAAAAATCTTGCAATACTGCTTGTCCTTTGAGTTTCAGAGTGGCTGACATGGGATAAATAAAATAAACTTTATAAAATACAGGGCATAACTCCAGCAGCTACACATCTATAAAGTACATAAGTGTAATAGATATGTTGCACCATTAGTTTTTATATGAGCTGCTACATCTTTAAAGAAAATAAACTTAGCGATGAAGTATTGCATTTCCTTTAGTGACCAAGTGAGGGCAGCAGGAGTAAATATTTCACATGCTGCTCCTCCTATGACAACAGCTCTCGACTGTAGTTCTACTGTAGATCATTTATTTCAACACTTGATCTGTGTTGAAAAGAATAATACAGAAGTGATACAGGAGTGGACTCCTCCTTATTAGTTCTATTTTTTTACTCAGCACAGGTCTAGAAACACAAATCAATAAAAAAAATAACAAATTGTGTAAGTGTCAACCGTCTGGACTGGTGAATGTGTTGTGGTATGGGTGGATGTGTCACAATAATCACCACAAACTGTTTTTGTGGACACAGCAACAGGGACAGTCGGTTGTTCTGATGCAAAATCTTGTCTCGAGAGAAATTGTTTTAATTTGAACTCTATTTGATATCAGCTGGTTCTCACTGTGGCTCGTGAGGCAGCTGATGGGACGGATCACAGTGTTGAAAATGAAAGGCTACTTTTCACTATGGCACTAATAACTTTCTCATATTAAATATTTGTGTTCTTTTAATCCTCCCCCCACTGTCTGTACGTCAAGTTTCGGTTTATTTTATTTTAGAATTTTTAAGAATATTAAAGTCAAAGTTGGCTGCTTTTTCATTGTGGCACTAATAACGTACTCATATTAAATATTTTTAAAAATCCACATCAGTGATTGACCTCTCTCTGCCTGGAGCTGAACTGTGTTTCAGTCTCACTGGGTTGGATTAGGTGATGGTGATCCAGGAAGAAAAACCCCTCCTCTCACATGTTAAACTTTTAAACTGAGGGGGTGGATGAACTCTAAACATCTGTGCTGAGTTGAGTTTCAGTGAGAGCTCTCACACTGACACAGAGGAAGTGATGTGTGTTTCTCCAGCGTAATCTAATTTTCCATGTCGGCTCATGAGTAAACTATGGAAACTCATTCCTGCGAGAAACAAGCGTGAAGAGTTAAGAATGATATGAGAATGTAAATACACACATGTTAAGTCTGACCTCCTCACATGTTTTGTAATGCTCTCACTATAAACCCTGGACATGCACTCAATCAGCCTCTGCTTGTGCCTGGATCTTCTCCGCTTGTGCTCTAACTGTGCACTTGCACTCAGATGTTTTGTTGGATTTTGGTTTCAATATTTTTGGTGCATGTGTCAAAATTACCCGACCAATAGAACACCTCAATGCACTGTTGACAAATTAAATTCTCTCTTCCTTGCGTGCAAGCGTTAACGTCCCTCTCTTACAAGACTAAAGATTGAAGAAATAAAGCGAACACACCCACAACCAGGACGGGACAACTTCATTGGTGAACTCTACAGTTCCACATTTTTATTTGGATCTGCACCACATTGCACTCAGTCATAAATATCAGCCCCCTAACATTCCTGTTAAAATATTTTTCATCAAGATCCATGAATTCTTTTATGGAAAATCAAAATGTAGAAAAAAATATTCCTGGATCCGCCCCCTGATTTGGACCCACACTCAAATTGAATGGGTTCATCATTGGGTTGAGTTTAGAGTTTTTGTGTAATCCAGACGAACAAACATCCTCGTAAACACAAACTCCTTAGTTATTTGTAAAAAAGATACTGATCAATGTTTCTGTCTTTAGTTTAGTGACTGTAATGTTTTATATACGACTAGAATGGTTCATAAAGCCAAAGTGTGTCTGCAGGGTCAAACAGGAAGTGACCATAATGTTTCCTCAACCAACTCACCCTGCACGCTGATAAAACACCCACACTCACACACACACACACACACACACACACACACACACACACACTCCCTCCTCAGATATCTGTTTCTCCTCTGCTGTCGCTCTGATACACACACATTCACACAACAGAGGGAGGGAGATAACTCTGTGATTCCACTGCTGAATTTTTAACGCTGTTGTGGAACTTTTTTTTTTTCCAGGCGGGTTACTGTAGCACCAGGGTTGTGTTACACCGACACAGACACAGCGAGAGACACAAGGCTCAGTTCAATTCTGCTGTTTACTGAGGCTGCACGGACACACACTGTCCATGGGGAGTACGGTAAGTTCATCTGTCTGTCTGTCTGTCTGTCTATCTATCTGTCTATCTATCTATCTATCTATCTATCTATCTATCTATCTATCT